ATTTAAGACTGGTATCAGCAGAAACTACCAAGTTCCCATGTAGTCAAAAAGCGTTTGTCTCCCATAATACATTCAGAGATTTTCTACCTTACTAGTAGTGAATCAAAAGGTGAGAAATTTTACTTATGTTCACATAGGCTCCTGGAAACTGTATACTGAATATTCAGATTTTTCTGGAAAGCTTTCAAAAGTGTAACTGGCATCAGTGGAAGTCCTTTGTACTGAAGACTAACTTTGCATCGCCTGAGAAAACAAGAGTCTGACTCACACGGTTTCAAATAGTTCCTATGCCTGCGATTCTACAAGAATCGCTCCTCAGACTTCATTCCGGTCCCAGCTCGCTGAAGCAGGTAGAGGTGAGGTATTCGTCCAGCGCATCTCTGGCATTCCTTCCGGAGTGTCTCAGTTGGGGCAGCAGCAGCCATTTTGAAAGGCCCGGCGTGAGTCCCAACCGTAGCTGCATGACCTCAGCAGAAATGCCCATAAGCCTGTAGCTCTGGTTTATTTTCTTAGCTTGGTAAGCCATTCTCTCCATGCTGGGACTCAATGGCATTTCCCATTTCCATTTGCATTTTCAGAGAAAGCAAATGCTTACCTCGTCAGGTTGCAAGGAGTGAGTCTCCACCCTCCTATGTGAAGGTCTTGCCTTGTCTGTGGGCTCTCTGGATGCCGTCCTTATGTCTGTTGTGAAGCTATTAAGCCTCGTGGCCAAGACTTGAATTGGACATAAGGGAGACAGGTGTTGTGTAAGCTTCCCCTCAGGCAGCTTGTGCAGGATGCTTCCCTCCTGATCTCTAACACCCACCCACTGTGATTCCCATTTTAGACCTCTCTGGAGCAGAGAGCAGTGTACTCGGCAGATGTAACTAGTACTTACTGAAACAAATAAAACAGACGAGATCACCCTGAATGCCAAAGATGTACTCATCTGTTTACACCACCCACTTCCAACCACTCTCCCAAGTGCTGTAAATCCTGGATTTTCTGACTGGAGGGGATTGTCGTACTCACCTAATGAAAGAAAGATCAAAGCAAGACCCCAAGCCCGTCAGAGCTGGAGTGCAGCCCCGGGCCCCCTTGGCCCTGCACACTCCCTGTCTAGATCACCCTCTAGTCCTGGTTCCTCGCCGGCCTAACAGCCATTTCCTCCAATAACGTCAGTATTCATAAAGACATCTAGCCACCTGAAGTATTCAAGCCAAATGCTACTGCACTCGGTCTCCAAATATAAGATTGTTTCAGGCCTCATGTCTGTCTTCTGAAGTGAGAGCAAGATGGCATGCTGTGTGACAATTATGGGGTGTTTCTAGACTAGGGTACTTTACCTAAGGTCAGGAAACCGAAAAAAGTTAAATAATAGAAGGAAGACGCTGATGGCCGAAACAGAAGGTATTAAAGTTATCTAGGGTTAAGTGGAAGAATTATTTCATAGTAATATTGCATTTTTATAATGCATGTATGCCTTTTTGCTGCCCCATATTTTATACATTTTTCTCCTCTCAATATCATGGCCATGGGTTCTGAACCTTTGCAAGTAAGGTAATCCGTTTTCACACCAAAATGCTTATTAAGCCCTCCCGCCAATTGATGATAGTAATTGTATTTTTTTTAGTGGCCGCTTGAACAAAAAACACAAAAAAGCTTCTCAGAATTTAGCTACACTTGTACCTAGCAGCACACTTTGTCATAATAGCGTTTACATGCATTTGAAAATAGCAGTGCACAATCTGTGAAGACATAACATTGATTCAGTCTAAAAGCAAAGCTTATTGGATTTGTAGATTCATGGACCATTCAAGCTGTATATGGACCCCACGTCAGAAACAACTAATTCAGAAGGACCAAGGTTTATACTCTGTGCTGCAGTTCCTATGAGATGATACATTTCCTTCACTATCTCTGGTTTTCAGGAAGCAATTTATTTTGTCCTTGGGAAAAAAAAAAAAGGTGAATCTAATTTTCTTAATCTGATAAATGCCCTGGGACATTAGAACGTCTTCCTAATTAAACAGTACTTTACTGCAAATCTGGAACAAGACTCTGAAGGGAAGGAAAAGCTGCTAATTTTGACGGCCAGGGTGAAAATCTTCCATTACAAGAATAAGAAAGGTATTGGATTAAAACAGAACTAAGTTGTGATTACATCTACATGCAAGGTGATTAATAATACCATTAACATAGGGAAGCACATGATTTTTAAAAAGGCCCACGTAGAATCCTGGGCAGTGAGGTAGCTTGAGTGAGTGAGTGAGTGAACGAATGAGTGAGTGAAGTAGGTCCCAGAAATACAGGCATAGCTTTTTGCCAGCATGTGTGGAGACTGGAGTGACATTTTGTTGAGGTATATAAGCCCGGTGGTGAAGTGAGGTGTAGACTAGCTCTCAAGAGACTTATGTCTTAAACACACACACACACAACTAAATGAAGACACAAGGCATCCTTCTAGTTTAATGATTTCTAAAAAAAAAATAAGCATTGAGGGGCGCCTGGGTGGCTCAGTCGGTTAAGCGTCCGACTTCGGCTCAGGTCATGATCTCGCGGTTCGTTGAGTTCAAGCCCCGTGTCGGACTCTGTGCTGACAGCTTAGAGCCTGGAGCCTGTTTCAGATTCTGTGTCTCCCTCTCTCTCTCTGACCCTCCCCCATTCATGCTCTGTCTCTCTCTGTCTCAAAAATAAATAAACGTTAAAAAAAAATTAGTAAAAAAAAAAAAGCATTGAGAGGCAGGCATTAGGGGAAGGAAAAAGTGTTTCCGTCGCAATTAAAAGGGATGCAAATGATTGAGGTTGGATGGTATACTAAAGCATAGTTAAAAGGCAAGGCAAGAGGCAAATCAGTGGTTTTATACTTTCTGGAAGGGTCATAATGATTGCACCAAGAGAAAAATGGTGTGAGTAGAGTAGGGAGTGGAGGAAATTGGGAAAGAAGGAAGTTGGAATTTACCTAGGGTTTCAAACTCAGAAGAGGAACTGTGGATTATGGTCCTGCCTGTTGGCTGGTTGACTGTTCATACTGGGAACATTAATCATCTGTTTTTGAGTTGACTCAACTCGGAAGAAAGTCAGGTATTCTAATATGAGTGTGGAAGCTGAAAAGTCTGTAATTTTGCATGTACAAGGACTTCTACATTCTCAAGGAATATAGTAAGCATATATTTAAGAGAAATATTAATTTTCATATCGTATTTTGGAGATAGGATGTTTCCTAGACAGTTAAAAATACAGCATATAAATTATAAGCTATATAGAAGAACTACCTTTTCCCAAATAATGAGATAAAAATTTTAGCTACTGTACCTATTTTGGGACTTCTTTATCCAGAATTTTCTGTAATAGGTATCAGAATTTCTTTAACATTCCGTACTTAGTGGCTCACTTCCCTTTTCAAGATAATAATATATAAAATGTCAAAACATTATTGTCATTGTAAATGTGGCACACATATAATTTTGAAGTACTCATTCTTGTATTTTCAAAATGATCAAATAAACCATTATATTAGCTACTGATCATTTCATACATTTTCCCAAACAAAAGACCATGATACAAAATAGTCTATTTCACACATCCACCTAAGTAAAAAACTGTTCCTTATCCCTATTCCTTTTAATGTCAAAAATGTGTTAACATTGTGCTACTTTCTCTGTTGTTTTCACGAATACAGTGAAAAAGCAAACTGAACACACACACATACATGAAAAAATAAACTTCCTGATTTAAGTATTAACACCGCTGTTATTAATAGTATGCTGTGGCAAGGCACCACCATCTGCTGAGAGTTATACAGAAAAAAAAAAAAGCTAAAAGTCCAAAAGCAAGACCAGAGTTATTAATTACAACATACAGAATAGAGTTTGAGTACATACACAATACATCTCTTTCCCTTCTTCTTCTTCTTCTTCTTCTTCTTCTTCTTCTTTCTCTTCCCCCTCCTCCCCCTCCTCCTCCCCCTCCTCCTCCCCCTCCTCCTCCCCCTCCTCCTCCTCTTTCTATTTAATTGGTTTTAAAATGGTCCCACAAAGATATATGCCAATAAAGCTGGAGTCCTGCTGGTACCCCAACATTTTTCTTCTCCAAAGCTCAACTAGTAAAAGGCCATGGAAGGGCTTTTGTCTCAGTAACTTCTGCTTTCTCTGAATCTTCCTTTCATCTCATTTGCATCACAAACTATGCTGAAGGACTAACCCAGGGTCTAACCATCTGTATTTTGCTGGACTTCCTTAACACTACCTAGTTAAAAATCCCCAGTGTGGAAATCCCAAACCAGCCGCTGTGAATCAGGGCCTTTATGTGAATTGCGGTCCATTGTAAGTGTTGGGGATGGTGCATTGAAACAAAAAGAAAAGCAACACTTGTGACACACTTAAATGGAATGTGGGTCTGGGTTTTCCGTCATCTGCTTTCTTCTCCTCCGTACAGCTGCCGTGTGTATGACCACGCTGCTCCGGTACCTGCACACGATGAGAAAAGCTTTAATTTGTTCCAGGGACTGAGAAGAAAGGGCGACAAGAGCTATGGTCGTTATATTCTGTTGTCCCTGTGTAACTGTAGTTTTGTTTTTTGGTTCCTCCATCAATTTTGGAATCTTTCAAAGGCTTGCACAGAGTGACAATTTTGTTGTTACCTTAGGCGTGTGCGTGTGTACGTGGGTGTATAATAACTTGGTGAAATCTCAGACCTAAATGAAAATAGCTGCTTGTGTAACAGGCTGGCTTTTCTCCCCTACAACTTGTTCAGGGGCAAAATGTTCTGCCTTGTCTGGGGGTGAATGGAATCACTGACTGCAGCTACAGAGGCCACCTGGGGTCGCTGCAGCCTTTGGCCTTTGACCTGTAATAAGGGGAGATTGAGGGCTTGGCCGCCAGACCTACAGTCGCTCCCGGGAGCGGGGTGGGGGTGGGGGGAATCAAATTGCCTTGAGCTGGGATTGCGTATAATTTGTATGTGTCTTATCCTGTGTGCATGATATACCTCAAATAAACCCATCTCTATTTTGTTCATAGTTCTAATGGCAAGTCTGTGTCATGGTCTGAACCAGGTGGAAGACAGGTGCCCAAGGGACAGCACATGTGGCACCGCCTCTCTGTGCACGTGAAGACCAATGAGACGGCCTGCAACCAAACAGCCGTCATCAAGCCCCTCACTAAAAGTTACCAGGGCTCTGGCAAGAGCCTGACCTTTTCCGATACCAGCACCAAGACCCTTTACAACGTGGAGGAGGAGGATGCCCAGCCGGTCGGCTTCAGCCCTCCCAACAGTCCTTCCATGGTGGTGCACCGACGTGTGCCAACCGCGGTGAGCACCCCGCCTCTGCCGCCCCACCTGACCACAGAGGAGACCCCCCTCTTCCTGGCCGACCCGGCCGTCCCCAAGGGCTTGCCCCCTCCCCTCCAGCAGCCACCGCCACCGCAGAAATCCCTGATGGACCAGCTACAGGGAGTGGTCAACAATTTCAGCACCGGGATCCCCGATTTCAACGCGGTGCTCGCAGTCCCCGGGGGTCCGGGGAACGGGGTGCGCTCGCTGTACCCGCCCCCGGCGCCCCCGCAGCACCTGCAAATGCTCCCGCTGCAGCTGAGCACCTTCGGGGAGGAGCCGGCCTCCCCGCCGGCAGAAGACGAGGATGAGGACGACAGCGAGAGGTTTAAGCTCCTCCAGGAGTACTTGTACGAGCGGGAAGGGAACACCGAGGAAGACGAGCTGGAGGAGGAAGACGAGGACCTGCAGGCGGCCAGCAAACCCCTCCCCGAGGATTCACCTGCTCTGACGCCTCCGTCGCCTTTCCGCGACTCGGTGGCCTCCGGCAGCTCGGTGCCCAGCTCCCCCGTGTCCGAGTCGGTGCTCTGCACCCCTCCCAACGTGACCTACGCCTCCGTCATTCTGAGGGACTACAAGCAAAGCTCCTCCACCCTGTAGGGAGGAGGTGTCCGCGGGGACAGCGAGAAAAACCAGGGAGCACCAGCACCTCCGGAGATGCGCCGACGGCTGGGAGGAGGAGATGGGGGGAGGAGGGCGAAGTCAGCAGGCAAGGAGGACAATGCTGCTGCCGTAGGGAAGGCCAGAGGGAACTGAGCTCTGCAGGCAAAAAGGGATCCAGGCGAGGATCCCGATTCTTGAATTATTCGAAAGCCTTCTCTGGGAAGAAAGGGAATTCTGACAAAGCACAATCCCATATAATAAACAACTTTCACCACATAAATGAATGAATAAATAAATAATAAGTCAATAAATAAATACATCGACACGAATAATCTCCTCTTTTGGACATTGTGCATAGATAGACATGCCCACACACACTTGGCCAGCTTGAAAAGAGACAGCACATGTGGACCAGCCAGGTGAATCGTCCAGCACATGTGGACCAGTAGTGTGGACCATTACTACATCATGGTGTTCGTGGTACTCTTAGTGAGCAGGCTGGAGCCAGACAGAGCAGGTGGGTGAAGGAGGGGCAGGCATGGAACCACCCATGGTGGCTGCCATGGGACGGCAGCTCATTTTTCTCCAGCCCTTCTCCTTACTGAGCCCACAGACTCCTGGTCTTCAGGAGCCTCCCTTCACCCATTGCACCCGACCCAGGGCCAGCCTTGTGGCGCTGGGAAAAAAGTGTATGGATACCCTACTGCTCTGTGATTTCTCTCTATTTAGGAAAACAGGAATCAGAGCAAAATCATCACCAAAAAGTGCTTCATCAGGAGTGCTAAGGGAGGAAGGATTGAGAAGCAAGAGGACACATAAGCATGAGGCTTTGAACACAATCAGCACAAATAACGTCCCATATTTGATACTCGCTTATTGGTGATTTCGGAGAAAAGATTAGAGCAAGCGATTGTTTTGAGACTGGCAGAAGGTGTTTTGTGGATTTTCTTGTGTTTGTGCCAAGGGGGCTCTTCTCTGCCCTTTAATTAAAGAGAACAAACCATGTGGCAAAATTGTTACCTTACATTTACTGTAGCAAATAATACTTACCAGTTGAACTTCTAAAATGCAGTATGTGTATTTGGTGCCGTTGTTTCTCCTGTGTACTACAGACACAAATCCATCTTCCAACTTAAGGGTGTACTCAGAGCAACTCTTGCTGGTTCAATGACAAATAACGTCCTTCCTATTGTCATCCTTCCTATTGACAAATAATTCCTGTAACTTGTGAGTAAATGTGTTCCTGTGTCTTTGTATACTTGTGATAATAAAATTTGTGCACTGTAATGTCAATGTAACTGCAACTAGAAGTCGTCTTTCCAATATAGTATAGATATTTCTTTGTTCCAATGATGTTTTAGGTATTGTCACCAATATCTGCAGAAGCTCTTTGATGGTTTGAGTGCTGTGGTCCAATGGTTTCCTTATGCTGCTCAGATGGTCCTCCCTCTTCTAAAAGGGAACTCCTTTTTCAGATATTTTATGATGTGGATATGTTATAACGAAGTGGCTTGAAAATGTGTTGTATTAAAAATTCACAAAAACTGTGGGTTACAATAAAAAAGTACATTTTATAAATTTTCAGATATCATTATTAAAACATAAGGTTGAAATGACAGTATTGAGATGATTTCAGGTCACTTTAGATTTTTTTAAAGAGATTTTCCACAGCGACTTGAGCTTTCAGTGTTTATAAAGCATATGCTAACCTCTCTGTCTGGCATAATTTCCCCAGTTTTCTATTTACCATTTTTTGCTTTCTTTTAATTTTTATTTCCATGTACTTTTATTCCTCTATTTTCACTGTCATCCCTTTTCTTTATATTTTTGTTGTGTACTGTGTGTAATAACCACGTATGTGTCATCCAGTCATTTCATTTATATCCTCCTTTTTACACCCAATAAAAGTGACTCTTCTCGCCATTTTGATTTCTTCTATTATTTGTGGAATGGATCTTACCCCTTTAAATATCTGTTTATGCCTTATGTGCAGTCATATTTTAATATGCTTCCTTCATTTGGAAGCTGATTTCTCAGCCAAAAATCATCTTAGAATCTTTAAATACCCGCCTCATCATTTGTTCAGAATTTAACATCAGCTCCGATGTTTGAGGCTCATGTTTCTCATGCCTTCCCATACTCCACTGCCGAGTTTAGTCAGTTCCATAACAAGAATGGACCGCCTTTCTTTTAAAAAATTATTTTGTAACACCTTTGGTGTTAATGACTGAACAAGGATTTCAATTCCATGTTGAAAAATGACGGAAACGAGGATTTCAATTCCATGTTTTCACTGTAATGAAGGAGAATGAGGGAATTAGATGGTTCCCATGCTTAATAGATGGTCTACTTCCTGGCAAACTAGCAAGTAAAAGCCTACTATCTATTATTCGTGAAACATGTTTTATATCTTAATGCCACTAACATATGTGGCATTGATATCACAGGACTTGTGATATCACAGGACTTGTGCATTCAGATTTTTTAAAAGTAAGTATAGATCAGGAAAACTGCTCTACTATTCAAATAATGTAAGATGTCGGTTTGTTCTGAGGTTTTAGTCTGAAACATTTGGTGAACACATTCAACACCAATCACTTTATTTCTCTGAATGCCTAATATTACCATGATTAAATGTTTTCCTGAACACAATGCAGTATTAGCTCTTACAGCATAATTGTTCAAAATTGGAAATGTACACAGACATACCTTATACCAAAAATGCAGATACTTTTCATCTTGATGTACGTGCTTATACACGTTGTTTAGCTTCTTGTAAAAGTGTTTTCCTTTGGCTCGTTACTGCCTTTGTCAAATAACCTTGATAATGCTGTATAATAAATATTTTCTATTTATTAAATGTGTGCATTCCTTCTCCATACTTTGTAAGAGGTACAATAAGAGAAATAGACTGGTACAAAAAACAATTACGATGGTCTGATTTTGTCACAACATGTCTGCCAGATGAAAGTTAGAGAACATCATGCAAGACCTACAGGCCAGGTGGGTGATAGAGAAGAGTACAGTTTGATGATGTGGAAGGTGGGAGGGACCTGAAACTCTAGATTGAAAATTAAATCCAGAATTTGAATATTCAGTGCTATGGCAGACATTGTCTTGCATTTTTTGATAGAATTGTGAGACTTGACAGACTCCTGGATCTCTAGCAGAGCTCTGGAAACAGAGGCATATGAAAGCTGCATCTTTGTTTCATTTGTGCCCCACAAGACTCACACTCTAGAGGGACCTGGTTTCTTACTTTGGTGATACCTTCCTCTGTCCCCTTACATTTCAAGTTCTATTCCCTTTTATTTCAATAGAGACTTCACTGGTCTTCAAAACAAGTAAGCCCCTGTTATTCACATCTTCTGCTGTAAGATACCTGCAAGGTAAAGTATCTACCAAGTGTTGTCCAAGGGGAGAGCGATGATGGTACAAAGATCACATTCACGAGACTGCGATGTATTTAGATTCTCCAGAATCAGGGGCTGAGACACCAGGGAGGTTCTTCACTGTATCTTGAAAATAGAATGAGAAATCATGAAATGGGAGCTTGATGTCTCAGAGAGAAAAGTCATAGGACAGAGAATGAGAAACAAAAGATGAAGAAGGAGAAGGAGAAGGAGAAGAAGAAGAAGAAGGAAGAGGAGGAGGGTGAGGAGGAGGAAGAGGAGGAGGAAGAGGAGGACGAGGGGGAGGAGAAGAAGAAAAAAGAAAAAGTTTCAGGTGTGTTGTCCAAAGATACCCTTAGATTGCCTGTTAGGTCATAAGGACCTCCTTTTAGAGAGTCCAGAAACTTCACCATAAGGAAGACATTTGAAGCAGTTGGGTCTGGGCTCCAGATAGCACAAATGATGTGTGAATAACTACCCCGATAATTTCCCAGAGACTATTTTGAGAGGGAATCACAGAGAAGGGAAACAACATGTTCATCCACTTACTCTGTGCCAGACATTTTGCTAGGTTCTTTACATTCTCAGTTAATCGTCCCAGTACCACTGCTACAGGGATATTTTAGAATACTGAAGTAACTTGCCCAGAGTCTCTCAGCTAGCAAGTGGCCCATCAGGGATTTGAGCTCTGTCCCAAGCCAGCACAGAGCCTGTGAGTTCGTGTTCCTCTCTAGAGCTCAGGAGAGTATGTAGGGGCTGGTCCCCCTTTCTCATTCCCACAGCATTTTACTCCCATCCGACTACATTATGGTTTGCATGTCTCTTTCCCTTAATAGATTCTAAGTTCCTTTTTGTTTGAGATCCATTTTCTTCTTTCTAATTTGTGAGACTTTAGGGCAAAGCAGACACTCAGTAAATGTCGAGAAAAGGAAATGAGTGTTGTAACACCGTGTAGTTTTCCCAGCTTAGTTCTCTGAAGATTTATTCCAAGAGCCTTATGGGGTCCAGAGCTTTATATTTCCACCTACTGATCCTAACTCTGCCAACTGGAACAACACATGTTTTCATCATGAAGAACAAGCTCTCCTTTTGGCATCAAAAAGAGCTGTCCCACTGGGCAGAAGGTCTGCCTTTCTTGCGGAAGAGCATGGCAACACTCGGTGACCATCGAGCCCGGCCAGAGGTCTGGCAAAGCAACAATAGGTGTGAGGAACAGCGTCCTCTGCAGGAGAGCTGCTGGTAACATAAGACTGCTGAAGCAGGGCGCCCATCATCCAAAGGGAAAGCATGGTCTGGAGGTTCCTTCTTTACAGAAGGACATATCTTTAGACAAGGTGAAAGGCAAAACTAGCCACCGGGGCTTGCGGGGAACATGGGAGAAAGGGAGAGCCCAGTTTAGGGAGTTGAAGTAATGACGCTATTAAACCAGAAACTGGCTTGATTTTTCTCATGGTAGCTTGGGAAACAAGGCTCATAGATTAAGAAGAAGAAGAAGAAGAAGAAGAAGAAGAAGCAGCTTAAGAATGAGCATAACAAACACTGAAAAGGAAAATAATCATAGAATTATTGAGTTGGAAGTAAATTTAGAAGTCATTTAAAATAAGC